GATGTATACGCAACATGACTAACAATCTCAGTTTCCTCTTGAATTCTCACAAAGTTACAGACGACATCAGGGGTGGCTTCAGTGTCTGACTCAACTCGAGTAGTGATTGACACTGAGGATGTGTGTTCTTTGTATTTTGGATATAGGTCTCGCTTAGCTATCCACACACACCCATAAACAGTTGGTTCTGTGAAGCACAAGTTCAATCTCCAAGCTCTCTCATACTGACTTCTTCGAAAGTAACAGAACCTAACATTGTGTCCTCTTTTTCCACAGAAGTGACAACCGTTTCCACGTCTTCTTGGTTTCAGAAGGACACCCTCGTTTCTTTCAACATGATCTCGTTTCTCTTCAGGTTTCTTTCCTTCCTTAGGAGCTTCCTTCACAAATTTCATTTCTGTAGATGTGGAGGATGATCCATTGTATCCCAGGCCAAGGCTGAGACTTGGACACTGTCCCAATGTCAGTATGTGATCAAGAGATGCAGTACCCGCTGATAGCATTCGAACCTTCTTGTGGTTTTCAGTAAGCTGACTCTCGAGTAGTCTGCTTCGATCAGTCTCCATAGCCAAGAGATCACTAAGCCTTTGCACTTTAGCTTCAGCTTCCTTAAGCACTCGTTCCTGCTCCGTCATAGCTCTCTTAAGTGCAAGAACTTCTTGATCTGATTCTCGGCCAATTGAGTACTCCTTCGTCTTGATAGAAGGCTGATCAAGTTCCAGTATGTTAACCTGAGCTCTCAGCATGGCAGTCTCTTTGAGCAGCGCAAGGTTCTCATGACTGAGATCAGAGAACTTATTAAAGAGGGTCTTATACTCAGCTTCAAGATCTTGCTCAAGATCACTGTCATCCTCGCTGTCAACATCAGTATCTTTTCCACTTTCTTGACCAATCAACGCCATGAAGTTTAGATGCAGCTCACCTTCATCACTATCGCTATCAGATTCCGTGTCACTGAAACAACTAAGAGACTTCTCTTTCCTTAGAATACTAGGACACTCACTGCGGTTGTGCCCAATGCCTTTACACTCAATATATTTTTGCTCTTTTCTCTTAGCTAGAGGACACTCGCTTCTAAAGTGGCCGTAACCTTCACATTCATGACACTTCTTGGTGTTCTTGCTAGACTCCTGTCTTGAGTTCTGAGAACTTCCCCTTTCACTGCATTCCGTTGATAGCGACCACTCGATCTTCCATTCCCTTTCTCTATGCGCTTGATGTACTTGTTGAAGTTTCGAGCCATTAAACTCAGATTCTCTTCAATCTTGGTGACACGACTATCATCCTTAGACTCAGCTGTGAAGGCGATGCTCTTCTGATTTGCGGCTTGCCTGTCATTCTTCTCAAGATCATGTACCTTCAGAATTCCTGAGAGTTGATCAAACTTCATCTCATCTGTGTCTACAGCAAGTGTGAGTACCGCTTTATAAGCCTCGAACCGTGGAGTTAAGCATCTCAGCAGTTTCTTCACTAAGTCTTTTTCTTCATACTTCTTTCCGAGGACAGAAGCTTCACTTGCCAGCTCGCTGATCTTGCATATGAATCCCTCAATTGGCTCATCATCACTCATCCTTAGGTTTTTGAACTTGGAGGCAAGATGATCAAGACGAGTTCTTCTCACACTAGTGTTTCCCTCAAAATGATTAATGAGAGTATCCCACGCTTGCTTGGCAGATTCACATCCTTGTATGATCTTGAACTGCTCAACATCTACTGATGAGAATATTACAGTTAAGGCTTTGGAGTTGAATTTTGATGCTTTCTTCTCACCATCAGTCCACTGATTTTTAGGTTTTGGACCGACAGTCTTATCTTCCAGGATGACAGTAGGCGCACTCCAACCATCTTCTACAGACGTCCAAGCATCTTCATCAACTCCTCTGATGATGTGTTGCATCCTCACCTTCCAGTGACCGAAGTTGGTACTGTCAAGCATAATAGGCTTGTGAATGTGTAGGAGTTCTTTCATGGTGTCCGTGAAATCCGCAGGATCTCAACCTGTTAGTAGTACTTGATACCACAGAGGTTTCCCGCTCTAATACCAAATGAAAGTTCAGAGACACGCAAATAAGAACCGTACACAAGTTATTCAAGAACACTTCTTGTATATTAGAAACCTTTTAAACAATCTTCCTAGATCTGTTTAATCCGATTTAAGCTCAGTCACACACGACTAGCGACGGACCAGTTCCTAATCTCTAAGTTACAGAAACCCAAGCCAAACCCCTGTTTTCTCG